AGCTTACCCTGTGGTTTATAATTTTCTTCCCAAGTTTAGAGCAATCCATTCTATCTTGCAGTTGTCTTGAGTTCCCCATCATTTAGAAGTACTATAACTACACAATTTTTTCCCTCTTTTTGGTTTGTAGTTGTCCTCATTTGTCAATTGATGTCTCTGGTTCCCTGTTTACAATCTTATTGGCTTACTTGCTTTGGATACTTCCATAACTGGGTTGGTTTCTGGGCTATGTCATCATGGCCAGTTGTTGTTTGCTATTGTTGGTTCTCTATCCAAAGTAATCCCTTTAGCATCTCTTGTAAGGTTGGTCTGGTTTTAACAAATTCCCTTAATTTCTGCTTATCTGGAAATGTCCTAATTTCACTATCATATTTGAGGGCCAATTTACTGGGTATATAATTCTTGGTTGGAAATTTTTTTCTTTCAGGGTTTTATATAAACTATCCCATTGTGTTCTTGTAACAGGCCATTCTTGAGATGTCTTCTAGCCCACTATCCATGGTCAGTGTTAACCAGTTTTGGAGCCTGCACACCTCTGCCCTCCTTTACTGCCTGATGAACTAAGATGGCTGATCTAAGACAAAAGCAAGACTAAAACCAAGAGCAAACGTAGAATAGACCTGCACAGAAGAAGTTGTGGTATCCATGTTGAAGCACACAGACTCCATCTTAGAAAGAGACTGTGCATGCACCTAGCCTGAAGGAAGTGGAGGTTTATCATTAGGAATTTATCACAGCCTTGTTCTGCTTCCTGACTTTCACAAAAGGGTCAAGATTTTACGAGTAATCTACCTGTATGAGATCTTTTGAAAGCACGTACCCCAGGACCTTAAAACTGTTATAAAAACCCCTAGCCTGTAAGGCTTGGGGAGGCACACATGGCTTTGCCTCTGGCCCTGTGTGTCTCCACCTTGCAAGGTTACTATTCTTATTATTAAAATTCTCTCTGAGCTACAGCTGACTTTCTAGTCATTATTTTGGAACTCCACCTATGACAAGAGGAAGGAGTATTTAATTTCAGGCAGCCCTATCCTGCTCCCTGCCCATAAAATATGTAATGCAAAACACAAACACTAAACAGTAAATAAAATTTTGTTTTTGAAACAAACACAAGATTTTACCCATGAATGAATTAGAATAAGCTCTTTATTTTGGGAAGGGGCAGTGCCTCAGTTTTGTTGGTGCCTGTATCAGTCAGGGTGTTGGCAGGAGACAGCACAAACAAGAATTTAACTGAAGAGAAACTCCTGACCATTGGCAAAGGTGTGGGCAGGAAATCAGCCTGGGATGAAGAAGCACCTCAGTGCTGTCAACAGTAGGAAGCAGTTGCCACCACTAGTCCTAAAGGTGTAGGGAAGGAGCCTAGAACTGTAGCCATGGAGAAACACCTGTCAGAACCTCAGTCTGACCCAGAAGGCTAGTGACAGGGAAATAATATTTCATCTATACTTTTTTCCCACCCTCAGATCTCTTGCTTTTGACTTTCATTAGCTGAATTTAACCAGAAGTCAGAAGGCAAGTGAGCCCTGGAGATGCAGTCCATAGAAGTCAGCTTCCTGGGCAAGGAAGAGAAGGGTCAAGAATGGATCTGGGTGGCTGGGAAGGCTAATAGGTAATGAACAGCATGGGAGGGAGGTGCTTCTGCTTTGTGGGTGATCTATGTGTATGATTGGGTAGTTAAGCACTTATTTGAGCCCTAGATGAAAAGTCTAGGTCTCATGTTTTTTATATTTAGGTATCTATATATCCAAGCTTATTAAAATCTGTGACACCGAATTAGTAGGAATTCGTGGGACAAAGTCATCTATTTTTGAAAAAGCTTCCCAAATAATTTTGATAAGTTGCTACTTGTTTAGAACCAGTAATGTAGTCCCACCACCTGATTTTCATAGATAGGGAAACTTTAGCTCAGAGAAATGAAAAATTCTCTGACTTAGCTGCTCTCTGTCTGAGAACTATCTCTTAGGTTACCTTAGACAGTTTGGCTGGAAATTTGGCACGCTTGTCCAAATCTTCTAACCCAGTCCCCCCATTTACTGATGAGGAAACTGAGGCTCCAAAGATGGAGTATATGCCCAACTAAACAACTAGAAAGCCACAGAGATAGGGGTGCTAAAAGGACTTGGTGGTATCCTTTGACTACCTCCAACTTCACGGAAGGGGAAAGAACTGCCATCAGCATCAACAGTCCAAGGCTGACTCCCATGAAGTAGAGATCAGACATGCCACCACCCTCTGACCTTTTTACAAATTCTGACACCAACTGTCTCTTCCATGGCACTCTACTTTTCTGCTGGGTTTGATAATTTGTTGCAATAGCCACACAGAACTCACACACGATACTCATGATTATGGGGTTTATTAGGGAAGCAACAGATTACAATTCAGGTTTAGGAATGCTGGGATACAACTCTTCCATCAGGCCAGCCTCCCCATAGCCATGCCTATAGGCAAGCCTCTCTTTGGCCCTCGGCCTCTGGGCCTGGCCTCTGCCTTGCTTAGGCAAGTGTTACAAAGCTTTTTTAGCACTGCCGATAGGTGCATCCCACTCGGTCAGGAAGACCCCTGTCCAAAGGCAAGCCCACCACTCTGTCCCGCACTGGTTCCCTGGCCCTTCTGCTTCTTCTGCTGCTATCTCCTTGCTGTCCCTCTGCCGTCCTTCTGCTATCTCTCTGCCAAGGAAGTCCAGCACAGGGATCTCAGATCCAAGGACGTGCTCCACTCCTGGCTACTCTTGATGGTAGTGAGATCTCCCTTTGCCTAGGGGGATGGCAAAACTGACCAATCCCTATGTTAGGGTTCTATATACCTTATTTCCATGGTCCCATCCCCACAAGGGCACCCTGTACCTTAATTCACATTATTAACAAGCTATCCAATCCCTTTGGCGGGCCACATTTACATAGTTCCAGCCAGTCCTATCTGGTGGGAGTTACAAAAACTATAGCTAGAAGAGCCATACCAAGTAATTCTCTATACCACCGGGGGTTGTTGTTGTTGTTGTTGTTATGTGCCGTCGAGTCAGCCCTGACTCATAGTGACCCCTCCTTGGGTTTCCGAGGCAGTATCACTACGGAAGTAGGATTGCCCAACCTTCCTTCCGAGGAGTGGCTGATGGGTT